CTATAACATTGCTGCAAAGAACCCTTTTGGAGCTTTTTATTTTACTGTAAGACAACAAAGGACTGTGATAGGCCACATAAATATATCAAGCAATCCTGGAGGACAAGCTTGCCCCATACATCAGCTTTTCAGAATGGAGGTGAGCATGAGCTTAATTTGCTGAAGGTGAATTATAAGCAGGCCATGATGAGAGCATTGTGAGAAATGAGGTGATGACACCAGGGTCAGCATCTCCACTCTGGGCGATATTCCCTGGGATTTTTAATGACTACGGGGTTTTGGATCTCAGTTTTATGTCCCTTATGAAAGACGGCTTCTTTTTTTTTTGCAGCAAGGCACCAATCACTGCACTGGGCTGTGGGGACTAAACAGTCTGCAGGGTGGCCCAACTACCAAAATGTTCCGGCAGTAATGTAAAATTTCCCCAAGAGATCTCTCAGCTCAGGTCCAAACCAGTTTAGCTTCAGTGAAGAGCCAGAAAAGAAATGCAGTGAGGCATAGCAGAGAAAATGATTTGCTTGTGACCAGTGGTTCTCAAACCAGTCCATAGGGGCCCACAGACAGTCCAGAATTTGGCTCTTAGCCAGCTCACAGGACACCTGTACTAGGTATTCAGTGTTGACCAGTGATTTGTCTGCATATTTCCATTGTTAAGATATAAACAAAGTGAGTGGTTCAAATGCAGATGTGAAATGATTCATTGTAGAGAAATCAGCCAGGAGGAAGCAGAAGTCACAATGTCAACAATGCAAATGTATATAAAAATATTTAATTTGCTATTCAAAACCACCACTGAACCTACATGTGTACCTTCTGAGTTCTTATATGTAATGTAATAGGCATGGTACAATAGTTGTAAATCTAAAAAAATAAATTTTCTTTGGGTAATATTTTGCCACATCAGGCTACATATTCGAAATAACTTTGTGATGTAGCTTAAACAGGCATTAAATGCTCCAGGAGACTGGTTCCTCTGATCACCACTGTGAACAACTCTGATTAGGCCATTTTCTTTATAATGTCTCTACAGCATTTCACTTCAAAACATTCTGAATGACTCTGTTTATATCTTAACCACTGAATTATACAAAAAATGTAAAATCTTCCCAAAGGAGTCACTGACAATGTTCCCCTTCAAAGAGACATTCACACAAGCAAATACCCAAATACACCTTAGCTGCTTTACAAACATTTAAAATGGCTAAATAAGGAGAGATTTCTGAGGAGATCAGACATAAGATAATTCACTTGCATAAGGAAGGAGAAATGAAAATAAATGAAAACACGGGAGTTTTCTGAAACTGGAGTTAAAAAAAAAAATCATTGAAAGATGCAAAGAAATTTGAACTGCAACCAACTGGTCAAGACCTGGTAGACCATCAAAACTGTCACTATCAGAGAAACAGCACTACCAGAGGAGAAAATCAAGCTCCAGTTTTGCTTTAGATCTCAAAAAAAAAAATCTGTGTTTTTGTCCATCCTTCCACTGTGGGAAGACAACTCAACACTATGGGCTGGAAAGTCATTAATGAGAAAAGGAAATAAAAAAGAACAAAATTTGCACAAGAAACTGAACATCTGAAAATCTGATCATGAGAAGAAAATGCAACCAACTTCTAAGACTGAACTTTGGACCTGTGGAAATATCTTACTGCAGATTTCTCTGAAAATCTGAAGGTGAGTCTCCTGAAAAGAATGGAAGCTGTAATAAAGGTAAAGAGTGGACACACTAAATACAGAAAAACTGGTACTTAGTTGTCAAGGCTCTGCTAAATATATACTTTATGCTTTTATTCTGATGCCGAAAAATAAACAGCTTGTTTACAGCCATTTTGACTAGGCTTTAAACAAATGAAAGGGTGGTCTCTGACTTTTGCACAGTTGCACATCTAAATTATCCTTAAAAAAACCTTTCTGTAATGTAACCTGTTTACATTTCTTTTTATTCTTTTTTTGTCTTTGTTATGGTTTCTACTGCATGTTAAACAGGGCAAAACAGAAGAGTGTTGTGTTTACTGCTTCATGATTAGACCTGACCTTCAATAATGAAAAGGAATTCATTTCTATTCTAGTGCTTAATAAAAACAAACACAATCTCATTTCTAGTCTAGTGCTTAATAAAACCAAACACAGTTCATTTATGCATTTTGTAAAACTGCAAAAAAGTCTGAAAAACAGAAGATGAAGATTATTTCTGAAGCTTGGCTTAATAAATATGACAGTTTATGAATGCTGAGGAATGATGGTCCGATTGGCTCTGGTAAACTAAACTAATTTAAGCTGAGCTGTTTATTTTTTTCCCCCCATTAAATAACATTTAAAAGTTTGTCTCACTCTTCTTAGCTAGCTTTGTTCTTTCAGATTTATTCCCCCAAATTTAATTTTCTCTTCCTCCCAGCCTCGCTTAAGCCTCTGGGACACAATTATGGGGCCGCTTCGAGCGGAATGGCTGTCAATACATCGCTTTCCTCTTATTGTTTGTCTGCGCGTGGTATAATTACTGTGGCTATGCAAAGGCCCTCTTTACAATTCTACAAACTTACTGCTGGGAAATCCAGAGGCAGAGATCCAGCATCAAATTTCAATAAAGGCTTGAATTATGAATTATGACGACGTGTACAAGAATTAATTTCATAGAACAAAACACATTAATAAACTGGCTTCGGTAAGTACTTTGAAAGAAGGGTTCCCACAGGACGCCGCAGTCACTGAGAACAGCCGTCATGTCTCAGCATGCTGATGTTGAGCATTAGTTTGATTGCCAGTTACAGTCTTTAGGTAGCAGTAAGTGTCTGTGTCAATTACATTACACAAGGACATTCTGACCTAAATGTTTATGCTTAAATGATTAAAGTTAGTGTGTGTATGTGTATGTGTGTATGTGTATAGTAGGGCTGGGCTCTCACACCAGACAAACAGAATCCTCCTTTTTGGTACGTTTAAACTGAAATCGGTGCTTTTTGGTCTTGTTTGATCTACAGTAACATCAATTCAACGGGCTGTGTGAGTGACGGAGCGCTGCTTCAAGTTAGCCAGCTGCTAAAACAACTAGCCTGGAAAGCTAACATTCTCCCACTCTCCAATGCCTCACACAGCATCTTCGGTTTACTTCGTTTAAATCAGTGCAGTGCTCTTTCTTTCACTTTTGCTGCTTCGGAATGCAGTAATATTAAAATATGACTGTCTGAGCGCTGTAACAGCGCTGTAGTTGTGTGGAGAAGATGTGATTTAACGCTGCTGAAGCTTGTTAGGATATTAGGAAAGAGGTGAGTTCACTGTAGGACAGTAAAGTTACGCCACTTATTTCGTCACTCACACTTGGTCACAGGAGAACAGCTCGCCGTTTGCTCCACTCAAACAGGGTATATATAACTCCGCGTTTCAGACATTGCTAAAGTATATTTCCCTCTCCCTCTGTAATCATGTCGAAAAACCCGGAAGTACGCCCTCTTGTGGCGACAGCAGAGTAGTGTCGCTTTCCTTGCAGTAGAAAATGCCACCAGGACTGTCGCTAGAACATGGAAGTGTGAGAATGTTCTATTATATCGAGCATTCATTGAACATTTCTTATATTCCCATTGAGAAAATTTAGATCGCGATAATTATCATTATCGTTTTATTGCCCAGCTCCAATATATAGTAATGTTAATGCTTGTTTATGAACCTATTGCTAAAATGCTGAAAATGTACACGTGTACATGTACAAGGCTAAGGAGCCCACATCCTCCATTTTTCCTGCACTTTGATCGGTCAAACTGTATTGTGCCTCACTCACAAGCAGTCTTAGCTTAAAAAAAAAACCTTAATTAATGGGCAGAGTTACACTGAACTATGCTGCATAGATACATTAGTTCATAAGAGGATGTTTATGCAGCTTAGTTCAACACATGCTTTGTTGATTTTTTAAATGTAAAAGTTAAAACATCCTCTACAGGCAACAAACTTAAACAAGGCAATTCTGCATATTGGTGTACAAATTCTATCTAAAGCTCAGTTTAGCATATTGGAAAAAACAAAACAAAACATTTGAAATGTGCCATAATTTTTCACTGTGTCGTTACTTTCGGGGCAGCACGGTTGCCTCACAGCAAGAATGGCCTGGGTTCGGTTCCCGGCTGGGCGACTAGGGTCATTTCTGTGTGGAGTTTGCATGTTCTCCCCGTGTCTGCGTGGGTTTCCTCCGGGTACTCCGGTTTCCTCCCACAGTCCAAAAACATGCAGTCAGGCTGACTGGACATGCTGAATTGCCCCTAGGTGTGAGTGAGTGTGTGATTGTGTATGTCTGTCTGTCTGCCCTGCGATGGACTGGTGACCTGTCCAGGGTGTATCCTGCCTTCCGCCCAATGACAGCTGGGATAGGCTCCAGCACCCCACCGCGACCCAGAAGGATAAGCGGTTAAGATGATGTATGTATGTATGTATGTACAATAAAATGTGCAGAGGATTACAGGATGTCTTATATTCACTTAGAAAATCAAAAAAATACGTAATTTGACCAGTGGTGGCAACATTGTGCATACAACTATATATATATATATATATATATATATATATATATATATATATATATATATATATTCTATATTCTGGGGAGTGAATGGTACATTTAGAAACATTGACAATACTGACAATTATACTCATATTGAAAACTGACAAAAAAATCTTTTTTCTATTAATCTTTAACAGTTACATCCCTGCATCCCTGTACTATTTCACAGTTTTGATTTCTTCATATTTAAAAAAAAAAAAAAATGAAATAAAGAAAAAATAACTGTTGTTGTGTCCAAACTACTGTCTTGTACTGGTACTGTACTTGATATACTTGTAGAACTTTTGTTTTGTTCTGACCTTGCCAAAAGCAGGGCAGGGAATATCAGAGAGAAAAGGTTTCACTGAAAAAGTCTGAGCACAGTTTAGTGTGTTCCCTTGCACAGAGGACAGTGCTTATGCTAGCAGAAAGAAGCCGTTGTCTTGGGCGGGCCGTAGAAAGGGGGGCTTACCTCCGCTTTAATCTTGTTGTCTCCGAAGCACAGGTGCTGGAGGTACGCAGCAGCATTGGATTGAACCGAGGGGAACTGATGCTGCAGCATCTGAATAACTTCAGGCAGCTCAGGATCTCTCCAACCAAACTCCCTACAGACACACGGACAGAGACAGAGAGAGAGAGAGAGAGAGAGAGAGAGAGAGAGAGAGAGAGAGAGAGAGAGAGAGGTTAGTAGGTTTCATACATTTGTGTCAAGTGGGAGAAGGAACAAAACATACATAACCATTCAAACGCTCAGAATCAATGTTTTCAATAATATAAAAGCAATTTGGTTGCAGATAAATGTATAAAGTGAACATTCAAATCTTATAGGTTTTAAATAATTAGGCTGGGGGTCCCTTGTCAGAAGCTGGGAAATTTTTATGCAGAAATAGGTTATGACTGTTTTTGATACATAAATCCATACATGTGTCATGAGTGGACCTCAAGGCTAAAATACAATGCAAGGAAAATGTACAATATGGGTTCTTTCATTGAAAAGGCCTTTTAAATTACCTACTTAAAATACTGAATAAAACAACATGACAAAGCCTTCTGGCATCTTCTTTATAATGTATAATAAGTTCCTCATGTATATACTCCATCAAAATGTAATCTATGTAGAATAATGAATTGTTTAATATGTATATATTATTTTCATGCTCATGAAACTACTAGAAATGGCACAGAAGCTTCCCTAAACCTTAACGCTCATTAAAAATGCACAGGTTTATGAATATGCACAATTAAGCATATTGCAAATGCCACCTTGCCTTTCAGTTTCCAAACCCCACCCCTTCCCCCTCTACCCTCCACCCTGACGAATGAGGTATACAGCTCTGTATGTTTGGACATGCTGAGCAGATGAGATGGGGCAAAGAAGAAACAAAAAACAGCTCCTGCTGTTATGTTATTAATTAGAAAATACATCAGAGATTCCCAGCTTAGCACCCTATAAATGTTAAACCTTAAGTTGAACAAGAATCACTGTAAGAAAGTGAGGGGAGGTGCTAAAGAGAGCACAGTGAAACTGAATATGTTTGTGCTAGCTGAGCAGGTTAATAACACGCCATAGATACTGTCTTTCTGTCTTTCCAAAAGAGTCAGTCGACTTCACCTCAGTTTTGTGTCTTTATCTTCTGAACTTGCTATGGCAACACATTTGACTCAATACCAATTTCATATAATCATGCAGCACTGAAAAGGAGTTAACCAACTAAAAAAAATCATGAAAGTCATTCCATGTTTATACTGTATGTCCTCAAATGTCTGGAAGATACACTTTCTCAGTTTCTTAGCATCGTTAAAAGTCGCCGGGCAGTGAGAAATAAAAGTTTTCACTGACATTGTTACAGAGGAAATGTTTCCCTTTATTGTATTACTGTTCTGAAACAGAGAAAATGGAAAGATGGTGGAAGTAGGAATTGTGTGTGTATGTGTGTTGTGTTGCTACAGCAATTCTCTTCTGTGCCGTGGCTTGACCCAGACTGGATTTGTTCATTTTCACTGATGCTGGGTCATTTGAAATAGATGAGAGAAAATGGGTGCAGTTGGAAGACTGATTGTATACAGTGGAGCCTTCAATAACAATGCAACTACACTTATAACTTTGGAACAGGATGGTAATGGCAGTAAAAAATACAGGATTCTACTGTTACTGGCAAAAAACCTGAGCAGAATACAATATCACAATCCACACAACTCGTTTCTACCTCAATCCCCCAGAGCTCAGTTAAGAAAGAGATGGAATTCTCAATGTGACTAGCGGAGTTCAAAAAGGATGAGTAAACAGATATATAAAGGAGCCAACCTATGTGCTTTCATAAAGCTGCATACTCACCCCTTGTCTACACTCATGCAGAATGTATGGCATGGGATATTCAAACTGATCTCTTTCAACTCCTCTACTGCCTTATGCAGGATTCTCTCCTTACGTAGGATTCCCATCAAGTCCAGTCAAATCTTTTCTTCAAAGCATTGGATGATTGCTGCAATACACAGATTTACAGAGACCATCGCAGAGCATGGCTGCCAGTGCTTCAAAATGAATGCTTTTATCAGCAAGAGATACCTGTCTGATAACGATCAAGGGAACCAGAGGCTGGACGCAGAACGGTCAGAGGCTTAAAGGAATAGTTTGACCAAAAGTCAAATTCACACTATTTTCCCATTACCCCAAATGCAGCAGATCATCAAAGCATGTTTGTTGTGTAAAAGTTAACTTCTTTAGTTTTAAACTGAATAATGGAAGCTCAACACCATATAAATCGCTTGCCAGATTATCATACATTTGCCTCAGACCGTATTCAGTGGTTAAGTAGGGATGTATATTTGTGGCTAATTTTTATATTCAAATAAAAGTTCATGAGCAGATATCTGGTTAAACACAGTGAAACCAGTGGCAAAAAAAAACCCAAAACAAAAACTTTGACTTTGGCTGAAAATTATTTTTTATTCATCAAGGTACAAACAATGTAAATGTACCCTCAAAGATACAACAGTGGTTTTAAGGTCCAGTTGTGAACCTTAAATAAGTTTTTCCAGTTGAAAAGAACGTATTTGTACCTTTTCATAACCCAATGTTTTAAAACAGAACAATAAAATAAAAAGCCTGGAGACGGGACGGGGTGTGTGGAGTCAGTACAACTTAGAAAATATCATTTCAATGGATTATGGTACAGTTATGTTCCCTGACTAAAGGTACTGAGATGTACCCTTGACAAGAGGGGTATTACCCCACTGACTGTTTTGTATCTTCTTTTTTTCTGAGAGTGTAGGTGACAGCACTATTGTTTCACAAAAATACAGCAGCACACAGAGGAACATATATGGGGGTGACTTCTTCAGATGACCTAATGATCTAACAGAGCTAACAAGTGTCATGTTGGAGGCTGATGAGGACTCGTCTTGTACATAAGGTATTCTCTCCTCAGTGGACGACGTGCCAACAAGTTGTCAAAGAAACATATTGTAGTTCATTCAAGAAATGTCTGGTATGTTAGTTTTGATTTATGTGTTTTTTAGCATTTACTGCACTTGGTTTGTTTGTAGAGGGCAGAGCTAGAAAACCTTGGGGGAGTGTGTATATGTGTGTGTAGGGAGAGGTAGTGACAGAGTGAGAGATGTGAGCTGAGTCAGAAAGCGAACTGTTAGAGAAAAACTCAGCTTATGTTCACCATGGCTGTGGCCGACAACAGCTGAAAAATAAAGCACCATGACTTTATTTACACCATGAAAGCAGTGTCTCTTTTAATAGCGAGCGTTATGATATTTTCACTGTTTCCAGACCTAGCTAACATCACCTAGAGTAGCTAACCTAGTTAGCAATACAGCCACACTGTTTGCCTTTCAGCCACATCCTTAACAACACATCCCTGGTAACACGCTCACGATCAGGCACTCTTGTTTCAGAGCAGCAAAGTATTACATAACTACTCGCAAATGCGAGAGAAACTACTGTGTTTCACTGAAACGTTAATCTGTAAACACCCAAGTAGTGATTATAGTATTCCAATACTAGCACCTCAAACAGTTAACGAGTACCTGAGCACATACCTACTGTTAAGTAGTTTCAAACAGACTTGCTTATGTGGTTTATGACATTGTAAATGATACTTGTCTATATTAATGGACAGATGTACGCTACATAGCTAAAACTGTAACAGAATCTTGAAGCTGGATTTTTCACACTTTTGTCCACTTTCAGAAACCAGCAAGGCTTTGAGATTACTTAAACACTGATACAGAACCAAACACAACAGTGTGAGTGGAGAGAAATAAGTGAAACTAGCTCTACATATGCAGATGGTGTTGTAGACCCCGCTGTGCCCACTCACTGAAAAATGTATCCAGCTTTTATGTGGTGATGTCTTAAAGAAAGTAAGGTTCTTCAAGATTCAATTTACTGCTGAATGTGCATCCAGTAAATGTACACGCATGGAACGCTGTCATGCCACTTGAACAAACGGATGAATGAATGAACAGAAGACAAGCAGATGAACATATGAGCTCACTTGATAGCTCACAGTTATGAGTGCTAGGTTAGGTTTCACTTGGTACTTTTCTCTGATTCGAACGGAGACTGTGGGCCATCCCAATAAGAATCTCCAAAACTCTTATCAGATTAACTAGGACACTGTTGGCTCTCTGTGTGTGAAATGTTGTGACTGTGTTAAGCAGCTAGTGAGCAATGAGGGGTGAAAGGGGAGGGGTGAGTCGTTAAACTGTAAATGCTAATATGCTTGCTTACCTACAATGAAGAAAATACAGCTTGCTTCTGTTTTTTAAATCTCTTTTGTAAATTTCAATTGAAATATAATATATTAATGTTATTGAGGCAAATATGCATAGTTAAACTAAGGGACCTCCAAAAAATCCACAAACTGCATTTTTTAGCTTCTGTGAAAAAGGCTTTACCCACGACTCTTGGTGTCATTTAGTGGACACTGGAACACTTTTCATAGGGCATACTTTGTACATGCATAATGTTTGGCCACAGGAGCAAGATTAACCTAATTAGGAAGAAAACATGGATTTAGGTTCCCTGAGGCTTTAACAACTCGACACTGTTTCAGGCAAGTGTGTGATTATTTAGACATGCTGTTTGTGTGATGCTAATTGCTATGATCTGAGCTTTCATTGCTTGTTAGCTACATTAGCCTCATACATGCAGTGCAAAACTAAATAAGCAAACTTCAGAAACCAAATATGTTTCAAGTGACTGATTTTGCATTTGGATTTCTGGACAATCACCTAAGGCCCTAAGTGAAGGCCTAAAGATGAAGACAACCCCTTATAGAAGGTTCTGGCTGGGTAGATAAACATCAGCTCTAGTGCAGGCCTCTTGCTGTCGGGGATCAGCCTCAAGGCCCACCGAAATGAAAACGATCGGCTGACAAGATAAGCGCTATGCTTTTTTCGATTAATTAAAAGGTAGCAGGGAAGGAGGAAGGCTTTCAAATTGAACGTCAATCATGCCAACATGGGAAGTGAATGATGCGGAGATTGGAGAATGGTTTCTGTGCTAAGTTGTGTAAAATATAGTTAAATGACGCAATTAAAACCCTTTTTTTTACCTCATCACATCACCACAATGCCCAGGACCATCACT